AGACCAGGAAATTCCGATCGATGCACCAAAAAAATCCCCATGGGTTTGTCCCTTTTTTCTAAATGTTTCTTCGATAGAAGGTGTTGCAAAATCGGTTTTAACAAACTCTACTAGAGAAAAACTACCATTTCAGGATCGCTCCTGCTGACCATGTGAATCGGCTTGGACCTTTCTAAGCACCCATTTTCCTACCTGTTCTCCAGACCATTGAAACTGTCTTCCAGAAACTCCTGTGGTGAAAATTTACCAAGAAAAATGGGAAAACTTTTTGCTCCCAAACTATGTGCAACGTTTCGCCTTATTCAACTCCGCGCTGGTCCTCACATTTCCATCATCAGAAATCCGGCAATTATGGAACGAAATACGGGACTCTAGGGCTTCATTAGAACCATCTAGACGGCCTTATATAGATGTTGATCGCGTTAAATTGCCATTTGCGATAAAATAACACGCCTTGACTCGGATGGTAATTAGGTTACCATTAAATGGCGTTACCACCTTCAGCGATTTGTCCCGTAATAACCCATTATTTCTAATGGCCACCCATTTAATCTCTTTATTATTATTATGCACGTGCATGCAGGCTTTCATTGTTGTTTGTCAGCAATCTGCACCATTCAATCAGTTTGTAGGTGGTTTTTTTTTGGAAATTTGGCAAAAATTATTGGCAGGAAGTTTGCAAATCGCGTCCAAGTCAAATCCAGTCAATAAAGAGTTTCAGGCTGTTCCTTACAGTCACGTTTGCATGTTCTTCATTTTTCTCGGCATTTCATGGCTTTAAATGGCACAGTAATACTAAAAACCATCGTTTCAAAGGATTTCTAATTAAAAAAACTCACAAATCCACTTATGGTCTTGCACGGTAGTATCAGTTTCAAGTAAATTTTCATTCGCTTTTGGTTTTCTGTGAAGCACAACCCGGATCGAAGGACCAAAATTTGCGTTAACGCTGAGTGCCTCTGGGCTTAGCCAACCGGTTTTTTCATTTTTAGAGGATATTGAGAATTGATCAAAGCGTTTTCTGTTTTTTTCAAATGCTTAATTTTTTCGATCAGAAATCTGTTTCAGACTTTTTGTCAAATACGCATTTTATAGGGAAAGTTGTGCATACATTGGACTTTTTCGCGATTTCTACGTAAGCCATATTTAATTTTGTAGGGAAAATGATTTAATGATGATTGGAAAATAATGAAAAATTATTTTTGGCGCTTGCTTTGTACCTTTCTAAAGTTTCGGTTAGAATTCAATATGAGATTTTCTCGGTAGTTTTAGAATCTTTATCTTCCGTTCTGCGTTTAGAGTATGCGCAAGCTGTTACTTAAAGGGATTTTTGGTGAGTTTTAGAGCGGTAGAGTCAGTTTCTCGAATATTCTTAAGATTATTCATATTTTTGGTTCTAATTGACACAGTAATACACAAAACCTCGTGTTTGAAAGGTTTCCTAGTAAAAAAATACAAATCTACTGAAGATTTATCGATCTTTATCTTCCAGTTTCGATTATTTCCAGTTAATTTCCATTCGCTTTTAGTGTATTTTTGTCAACCACAATCCGATTCGAATTACCCAAAGTTGGAAACTTTGAACACTTATTTGTGCATGTAAAAAATCGAAAGTTGAGGAAGATTGTTTGATAAAACATATGGTTTCAAAGCGAAAAAAATTGAGTAAATTGACGAGAAAAGATTTGAGTGGGCCGCCAATGGAGGAGATGATAAGATGACTAATGGGCAATAAAATGGTCGGTCGCAGTGCCAAAATGGCTCCCGGGGACATGATCTTGTTAAAATTCTTCTTCTTTAACACCGATCGGCCAGATTAAATTTCAGGCCGATAAAATAAAAATTAAATTTTGCGGTCGAGTAATTTAATGCCCGAAAGTGTTAAGGCAAAAACATTATAAAGTCTCGATAATCGGCGGCGAACCGGAGCAATTTCATGTTTGTTCAATTTAAAACCCGTAACGATGTGATCGGGATGGTGAACGTAGAAAATCCTGAACAAAATTCGACTTTTTCAAACTTCGCCTTATTAAATTAAGCAATTTTACGGTTTGTTTCATAAATGTCATATCGGTTGTGCGAACTTAATTATAACCCGTATAAAACGATACTTAAATTTCACGCATTGTAAAAACACCCGGTATAAATGGACGCCGGTCATAAACTGGCCAATTTGCATCCGGGCACTGCGTCCAAAACCAGAAAATTTAAGGCCAAAAATTCAATAAAAAAATTACGGGGGCTCGAAATTTAGGTCCCCCTTTTACATAAACTTCGTTTTACTGGCTGCTTATTGGATGTTTATGGGTCTAGAATTAAGTGGTAACCAGTTGATTGCTTCAAACTCCACTAGTGTGGCCATTAAAAACGTAACATTTTTAACTCAAAGCACTTAAAAGGCTGAACAGTTATGTAGCTCTTTTTTGTGTTAGAACCTGCAGATAAACTTGCCCACACACAGAAGACTGAAAGCACAGAAACACAATAATAATCTAACTAATACCAAAAAAGTCAAAGAAATTGTGGGCCTTCGAGCCGGATAGTGGACAGTATTACTAGAAAACTCGCTAAAAACTGCTAAAACTCGCTTTTTACGGGCAGAAAAGCATCCGAGAAACGACAAAAGAATGGATTTTCCTCACCTGAATGGCATCTACTAGGCTTTGAAAACTTTTGATACAAACGGTGCGGAAAACTGCATAATAGATGATGGAAAATCGCTCCTTAAGCTCGCACTTTAAGGGCACAAAATTCAACCAATGGGGCATTGTGGTTTAAGATGGTACCGGAAAATGTCCTCCAAAAAGCACACTGTCAGACCTACTGGAATTTAGGAAAATTGCCCAAAATTGCTCTTTATGCTCACACGATCCACCCTTTAGGCAATCATAGAACAAACTTTACTCTTCCAAATGGATCTAAAAGAAAACTCCCTTAAACCACTGTTGGCGCCACTCGACTTTGAAAAGTAGCATGCAAAATGCGTGGAAAGCTTCACCAATAACTTTGAAAAATCGCTAAAATTCACCTTAGTACTTTTTCACAAGAAAGCTGCTGATTTGCATTCTTTCTGAAAAAACTGCAGCTTTGAATAGTATTTTCCGAAAATTTGCTAAGTGATCTCATTTCATCTTGATTCAAACGTAAAAACTGCAAGAGTTCAGGAAAAGTTTGGTCCTTCGAGCCGGACTGTGCCTAACGATCGAACAGACAGTAAAATGGAGAAAATGTTGGTGCAACAGAGCGATAAATCATAGGAAAGTGAGCATTTTTTTATTATAAAACAGTAGAAGTCTCCAAGTTTGGTCATGATTGTGTCATTTGAAATCGCGCACTGACTAAAAAGTAAACACATTAGCAACCGTTTGTTTGGATTCATTTGCGCAAAAAAATCAAAGCTTAATCTTCATTAAAAGCCCGAAAAAGTTACGCAAATTACGGTTCTTCGAGTGGAAATGCGTCTGACAAGAAGACACTAAAAGGGAATGAAAATTTAATTGAAGAAATCGGCAGAAGATTTGGATTTGTATTATAAAACACAGCAGAATTTCTTGTTCCAGTATAAACAGCGTGTTCTTGTCCTTAATAGAACTAAACTTCGGTTACATTTTGGGCGCCTTTTCAATTTTCGGGTCAATAATCGTCGTTTGCAAGAACAATTCACTGCTAAAAATGTTGGCATCTTTCTCATTCAGCCTTTCAGGCATAAACACTTGCTTTTAGGTTGTTTTTTTCAATTTTCATTCACATTTTTATAACATTTGAGCCTATTTTGACGGATTATCACACAGCAGTGGAACTATCCAAGTTTTCTTCTTAGCTGAATCACCCTGTAAGTCATGTTCTACGCCTCTGGTTTGATCATTTTTGAAAAGTCGGTGCTATTTCTCAATTACGCGAACCGATTGCGTTCGAGATAATGGCCTAATTAACCGGATAATCGACGTGATCTTTTTCCGAAAAAAAACCTTCTGATGAAGATGCATAATTAAAACAACTACGGTCCGTCTTGGGCAATTTCTTTGATTGGGGCCCAATTGATTAGTAAAAATATCAAATTTGAGTTATTATTTGTGGATTTTCGCTGTTAATTAGGTGAACATTGACACGTGCATCCCATCTAGGGCATTTCATTAAGAACCTCCAGGGGCAATTTCTTGCGGAATTCCTCTAGAGAGAAAATGAGTCTTTGCGGTCTTTAATTGCCGTTATCAATTAAGTGAGTGCACGGTTTGCGTGCCACTTTATACTGTCATAATTTCCGCGTATTTCCAAGACCAGAAATTTTTTTTTGGTTTGTTTTTAACGTGAAAAGTGCAAGTTTATTTGCATAGCAATTTCCTGCGCTCGATGCCAATTACAATGACCCAACCCGAAATCGCCCAAATACCCCACGGACACATCGATAAACCCTCTTATTTACTTCCGCGTGCCACTTAGTGTGGATTGCGTGTGTAAACGGGACGAATTCCTTGCCTCAAAACAAACCTGATTATACAGGGTGCTTCGCTTAAAAATTTGATTCAAAAGTTTTCCGCTCAACGTTTCCCGGACGCCCACTTTTCGCATTTTTGCCGCACATATTGTGGGCGCTTAAAATCGGTAATTGATATTTATAAGCCGCCCAAGTGTTCAGGTGCACTGCGTAGGCTTCTGCTCGTCGACAAACACAAAACAAATTAAAATTATTACTCGATTAATTAATTCCAGCTGCAAGGTTTCCATCTAATCGATTGTCAATGACGGATCAACCAAACAAGTGTAAGGCTTCAAGACATCAAGGTTTTTGGCTGGGGGGAGTTCTGCTCGCGTCCCCTGATTCTCATACCAAGAGTGAAAACGTCTTGATGGTTGCGAACTTTGCGTTTGTACGTAGTCTTTTAATGAAATACTCTGCTGTGCGAGAGCATCACATTCTGACCACATTCTGATAGTTTCAAAAAATGTAGAACTTCCTTAGTGACCTGAATGTCTTATGAATGTTCTTTCAAAGTCTCTAAATATTTATAGGGCTAATTAGCAGGTAGAAACTTGTCACACAACATTCCTGTCATTTTCCATCCGAAGGACAGCATTCTACAATGTCCAGCGCTTCATTTCACCGTTTCCTTCACCCGGCCACCATCATCAGGAGCATGCACCGATGCCCCACGTCCTCAGGCGAAGAACGTCCTGCCAAAGAGGGAGGATACATTATGTACAAACGAATCGTCCTGTTTGCTTGTAAGTTGGACAAAAAGTTTCATTTCCTCTGGAACTCACATCTTCAGAAATTTGACCTTCTGTGCAGGTCTTCCGATAATTGCGGGTTTATCGGTGATGAATTTCCTGCGGCACAAGTCATGTGCAGAAGAACGCCAGCCATTCCACAAGTACTCATATTTACGCATTCGCACCAAACGATTTCCTTGGGGAGATGGGCAGAAGAGCCTGTTTCATAATCCGAGAACAAACGCGCTTCCCGATGGATATGAAGAACTGGAGGAGTGTGAAAACGGAGAATAGTACAGGCAGGAACTTGAAGGTGAAATTGTTTGTTGGTTTGGATTAAAATCGAAGTTTTTCTAGGGGTTTATTTATGAAGAGTCATGGGAATTAAGAAATGAGTAGGCTGCTCTGGTAGAGTAACTGGAGTAAGAGACCAGCATTTATAGCCCGTTGTGCCTATCATTTTTTGTCATTTCCTTTCTTCTTCTGGAGCATTTTTTTTCTTGGGTTCAGTTTTAGAATTTGGTTTATACCATTTCGTACATCTTTATGTTGTCTTTATTACTTTATACGTTTCTCAGTTGTAAAAGAGAGAAAAATTAATTCAACATTGCCAGCATAAGCTCGCTGTTAAAATTTAAAAAAATTATCACAGTGAACTTTTCCAGATTTCTGCGCTTGTTTAAAAAAATGTCCAAAAAACTGGAACATCTTAACATGACCTAAATTCCTGTATTTAATAATCGGATTTTTTTTATATAGAAAACATTTTTCCAGTTTCGCCCGTGTGGAATTTAACTACCAAGGAAGCAAGAGTGGTACCCCACAATATAAGTATTACAACCAGATATTTATCGTTACTATAAAAACACAACATACGCGTTACTGGCATCACAATACACGGCCGGCGAACGCGCAGGAAGGCCGATTTATATTATTAATAAAAATTATTTACGGCCCGATTTTGCGGTAAATTGCATCGTTACTATTCGTGACCGGATTATTTAGCGACGATAAGAGCGAATGAGCATTCAAGAAAAAAATTGCCATATATCTGTGTAGCTGTTTCAGGCCCAAGTCTTGTCTGTTCTTCTGCAGTATCAATTAGTTTAACGATTTAATTTTAAAAAATCGGGGTTTTGTGCAGTAGCGTCTGCAAGACAAAATTTTCTGTTCGGATAGCGGGTTTCACGAAAATTTATTCTGATGTTACTCGTTAATTGAATGGAACCAAATTTATTATGTAAAATGAAGCTTGCGCTATCGAGCGTTGAAACTCTCATTCGCATGTCCCAACTTATTCCTCATCTTTAGAAATATGTGATGTCAAAATGAAAAACCGCACAAAAACACACCGAAGTTTAAAAATTCATTCTTATGGCACCAGTGCCTTGAATCGAACCAAATTTACATCGCATATTAACTGAAGCTTCCGTTATGACATGACCCCCAATCCGATATCTCATCTGATTGCTCAGAAATCGTTTTTAGAAGCGAATGATGTAAAATTGGCAAATCGCACAAAAACACCACATAGTCCAAAAATTCATTCTGATGACACTAGGTCGTAAAAAAAACCAAATTTAGGCCACTTATAAACTAAAGCTTCAGTAATGGACTGCTGACATCCTCATTCCGATATCTCATCTGATTGCTCAGAAATCGTTCTTAGAAGCATATGGTGTAAAAATGAAACAGCCCGCAAAAACACCCCAAAGTTTAAAAATTCATTCTGATGGCTCCAAAGCCTTGAATGGAACCAACTTCAAACCGCATGTTAACTGAAGAGTGTTTTATGGAATGATGACACCTCGATGCCGCTCGCTCAACTGGTTCCTTAGAAATTTTCCTTAGAAACGAATGAGGCAAAAATGAAAAATTGCACAAAAACACTCCAAAGTTTAAAAATTCATTCTGATGACACTAGTGACTTGAAAGGAAGCAAGTTTAGGCCACGCATAAACCAAAGCTTCAGTAATTGACTGCTGAGGTCCCCATTCCGATATCTCATCTGATTGCTCAGAAATCGTCCTTAGAAGCGAATGATATAAAAATGAAAAACTCCACAAAAACACCACAAAGTCTAAAAATGCATTGTGATGACACTAGTGACTTAAAAGGAAGCAAATTTAGGCCACGCATAAACCAAAGCTTCAGTAATTGACTGCTGACATCCTCATTCCGATATCTCATCTGATTGCTCAGAAATCGTCCTTAGAAGCGAACGATGTAAAATGAAAAAAAAAGTAAAAAAAAAATGAAAAACCCCGCAAAAACACTCCAAAGTTTAAAAAATTGTTCTGATGGCTCCAGAGCCTTAAATGGGACCAACTTCACACCGCGAGTAAACTGAAGCGTGTTTTATGGAATGCTGAAACCTCGATAGCGATCGCTCAACTGCTTCCTTAGAAATTTTCTTTCGAAACGAATAAGGCAAAAATGCAAAACTGCACAAAAACACTCCAAAGTTTAAAAATTTATTCTGATGACACTAGTGACTTGAAAGGAAGCAAGTTTAGGCCACGCATAAACCAAAGCTTCAGTAATTGACTGCTGAGGTCCCCATTCCGACATCGCATCAGATTGCTCAGAAATCGTCCTTAGAAGCGAATGATATAAAAACGAAAAACTCCGCAAAAACAGCACAAAGTCTAAAAATTAATTCTGATGACACTAGTGACGTGAAATAAACCAAATTTAGGCCACGTGAAAACTAAATCTTCAGTAATGGAGTGCTGACATCCTCATTCCGATATCTCATCTGATTGCTCAGAAATCGTCCTTAGAAGCGAACGATGTAAAAATTAAAAACCCCGCACAAACACCCCCAAGTTTGAAAATTTGTTCTGATGGTTCCACAGCCTTGACTGGAACCAACTTCAAACCGCGTGTTAACTGAAGCGTGTTTTATGGAATGATAGAACCTCGATGCCGATCGGTCAACTGCTTCCTTACAAATTTTCTTTATAAACGAATGATGCAAAAATGAAAAACTGTACAAATACACTCCAAAGTTTAAAAATTAATTCTGATGACACTATTGATGTGAAAGAAACCAAATTTAAGCCACGTGTTAACTCAGGCTTCCGTAATTGAGTCCAGAAGTTCTCATTCCGCTGTCTCATCCGATTGCTCAGAAATCGTCTTTAGAAGCGAATAATGTCACAATGGAAAACCGCGCAAAACACCCCGAAGTTTACAAATTCGTTCTGATGGCGCCAGTCTCTTGAATGGAACCAAATTTACCCGCGTATAAATTGATTCCTTAGTTATGAAATACTCAAACCCCGATTCCGATGTTTTGACTGGTTGTTCAGAAATCGTCTTTAGAAGCGAATGATGCAAAAATGAAAAACTGCACAAGAACACTCCAAAGTTTACAATATAAGTCTGAAGACAATAGTAACTTGAAAGAGACCGAATTTAGGCCACGAATAAAGCTTCAGTAATTGGATGCTGAAGTCCGCATTCCGAGATTCCATCTGGTTGCTCAGAAAACGTTCTTAGAAGCAAAGTTTAAAAATTCGAGTTGATGGCTGTAGAGCCTTGAATGGAACGAACTTCACACAGCGTGTTAACTAAGCGTTCTTTATGGAATGCTGAAACCTCGATGCTGATCGCTCAACTGCTTGCTTAGAAATTTTCTATCGAAACGAATGAGGCAGCAATGAAAACCTGCACAAAAACACTCCAACGTTTAAAAATTAATTTTGATGACACTAGTGACTTGAAAGGAAGCAGGTTTAGGCCACGCATAAACTAAAGCTTCAGTAATTTACTACTGAAGTCCCTATTCTGATGTCTCATCCGATTGCTCAGAAATCGTCGAAAAACCGCGCAAAAACACCGCGAAGTTTGAAAATTCGTTCGGATGGCACCAGTGGTTTGAACCGAACCAAATTCACATCGCATATAAAATGAAGCTTTCGTTATGAAATACTAAAGCCCGATTCCGATACCTCAACTGGCTGCTCAGAAATCGTCTCTAGAAGCGAATGATGTAAAAATAAAAAACCGCGCAAAAACACCCTAAAGTTTAAAAATTAATCCTGATGGCACTAGTGGCTTGAATAGAACCAAATTTACATCACATATTAACCGAAGCTTTCGTGATCGAATGAGGAATCCTTCATTGGAAAATATAACCTGGTTGCTCAGAAACCGCCTTAAGAAAATCATGATGTAAAAATGAAAAAGTGGGCAAAAACACTCCGTCCCGAACCCACCATTAGAACACACATTGTTTCATGCAAAGTAATACAAATTACGCTTAAATAACTTTTTTTGCGCAATAACTTTTTTTGCTATTTCCTTTCGGCAAATATTCCCGACACCTTTTCTCTGGATTGCAGATCAAAATTCAATAACCTCTATAAATAAAACAGTGTAAAATCCCAAAAATGCGTTTCAAGAAAAAGCAAAACGAAATGATGGAATCGAAACCCAATCAAATTAATCTTCATCAACATTGTTAGGAAAAGATTTGTCAATCGAGCACTCACAGGCAATTAGCGGTCATTATTTTTGTTAAACGATCGACGGGGTGATACCGAGTGACTGAGCGAAGAAGCCGCCGATCCCTTATCTGGGCACATCGCATTAGAGACAATAAACAAATCAAATTTAAAATTAAACATTAAAATGTGATAGCGATCTTGTAATCGTGTGATGGCTTCGATTCCCATAACCATTGTGACGATAATTTTTGAGCAAAAGAGCCTGCACAATGCGAAACCGATTGGGAATAAAAAGTGTTCCAAACAGCAACTGTTGTTCTTCGAACAAAAAGCGACCGCACACACTGCCACGTAAATCCAATATTACCTGCTTACCTAGTAATTTGGCCTGTGGCTTACAGGTAATTCCGGGCCGGTCATTTCGATAATGTGCGGATATTTTCGGTAATTATCAGGCCTTGCCATACCAGTTCAATTAACATGCAAATGCCCCGATTAGAAAGTGCCTCTGGATCACAGCAGCCACAAGTCGGAGTTGAGGGCTCGCGATTGACAAAATGCCCGTTTATTGCGCAATAATTGTTATTAACCAACGTTAATAACAATTAGCCGCATACAAACGAGCCGGTCAGAAACTAGGCGAACTTCTTCCCTATATGGCGATGGTTTCTGTACCAGGGTCGCTTCGGTATAACCGATTTTGCCGCAACCAATTAACCAAAACAAGTGCTCACCTGTTTTCAGTGCAAATATATTTCAGAAAAGCTTATGAAAGCCGCACTCAAGCTAAATCCTCCCCGATACTCCGAAAATGTGATTTAGTTCTGGAAACTAGGGCGATTTTAAATTAAGTTGAAGAGGGTTTAGGTTTGGATATTTTTAATCAACGTTTAGAGTCTAAG